CATAGCAACCGTTGCATAATATGCTTGAATTGTTTGAACAAGTAAAACTTTACTTCATAGAATAAAACTTTTTAACAACTTTATCGGTTTTTGTTGTGATAAATATGACTGTAACTCAAAATCTTTTTTTCCTTCATGTTACTTTTTGGTCACATTTGGGAATCCAATACATTTACTTTTTACTGTGAAATGACTAATTTACATGGTTGAAGCGTTTTATTAAAAGTGACGGGAGCATTTGTCATATTGCAGTAACCTACAGTAATAAACTGAGCGAACGTTGGTCGTTTAACATTACGGAAAAGCGTTCGATGAAATGATCGTACGAAGCAGAATAGCTCAGGAGCGCAGATCGACAAAAACAGCGCCCAAATCCATTTGATGACGTGCTTCTGCTCTATACGTACCTTATTTATCTTAGCTTCTGAAAAGCGTGTCAAAGAGGTTTAATTTGATTTAAATTGCCATAATTCTTTTAACTCTGCCCTACCTCCTCATTTCGTGAAAAAGACATTTGATCTCAAGTATTCAATGTTTCTGCATTTTTAAGATTCATTTACCGCAGTCGCTAAGTCAAAGTAAGCAACTTTTTTGGCTTGTTTGACTGCCATGAGAAAATGTGATGCGTTCTACAAAGGTTACAGAAAATGGTGCTGGAGGAAAAGACAAATTGTGAAACTTTGTTGTTTTTCTTGTTTTTGATTCAGGTCAGTAAAAATATTGAAGCTTGTTCTAAATTTGTTTTTAGTTTAACAAATTTGCTTCAAAAAAAAAAACTCAAGGAGATTCTCTGAGTGTTCTGCCAATAAATTAAGTGATAAATTTTTGACTTTCTTCTTTCTTCTGCTTACAACACTTTGGCTTAAGTTTCAACTAATTAAAGCGTGATGAAAAGATTATTTTAATTTTTGCTTGAGAAATTTTAAAAGTAGTGCTCTGCACGCAGTTTGATCACGCTGCACATGCCGTGGTGAGAAAGGAGGGCAATTATAACCACAAACTTCAAAAATGTTACTTCAAAAAACATCTTTATAGAAAAGTGGTATTTTTCAAAATTTTTTTAGTTATAGTTTTTATTGGATAATACCATGTCTGCTATGCTTGATATTACTTCGAAAACCGGAGTTACTGGATTTCATAAGTATAAAAAAACCATTAAAAGACTGGACTTCATAACTGGTTGCAAAACTTATACACCTATCGGCGCTAAGTATCAATTTCGATGTTTTTTCTGTTTCTATCAAACTTAAATTAAAAATTGCTCTTCGCGTTTATTGCACTTCGCACTGTTTGTGGTCTCTTACCTCACTGATTCACTCGCAAGAAGATGCTTGCAAAGTGGCAAAACAGTTATTTTAAAGTCATTGATGAGTTTTGGCTTGATATGGTACTTATGAGAAGGAACGATAAGCGTAGCTACAAATGCGGTCTTAAAATGATCAAATTTGACCGGATGGACATGAAGGAAACCAAAATGATAGAACCGCTTTATGAAAAATAAGAAGAGTAACAGGCTTGCAAAAGGCAATAATGAAAAAGAAATTTTACGAGTCTTCTGCTGGTGCTCCAGCAGTTACACATACCTGGAATTTTGTCGTTACATATTGCCATTTCCCTATCGCTCCAACCAACTGCGGATGTCATCAGCAAAAAGGAGCCTTTGGCCACTGTAGCACTTATTAAAGTCAGAAAGAACAGCACAAAGAAACACGATATTTTCAAAACCTGTAAACTGACGTCGTGCCAAAAACCTGTAACCTGCTGCTGTTATCAACACTCCATTGGGAATATCATAAGTACTTTCATAGTTTCTAATTACTCCTGTAAGACAGCGTGTGGCCTTCTTTTTTCAACCACAGAAAAAGACTCTGTAAAAGTGTAAGAAAAGAAAGGCTTCAGAGCTATTGGATAAGCAGGAGCGGCATTTTCATGTTTTTAGTAATGCCATGCCACAAATAATGTAACTAAAAAGGATTGTTCCAAACGAGTGTTTGTGTCTAACCTACCTTTGCCAAGTTTGTCTGGTGCTGGGGGGAGTAGTCGGAATATGTCCCATCCTTTGGCGTCTGTCGCAGAGCTAAAATTTTTCTATTCAGTAAAGAAGCAGATTTGATCAAATTCCTTCATAGAAGAAAGAAAGTTTTCGTACAAAAATTGGCTGGTACAGTGGCGTTCAACATTGCGTTTTGATTGAAAAGTTCAAAAGAAGATGTTTTGAGAAGCGTTTCGGTAGGCTGGGTTTCATTAAAGCTAATTATATTTCATGTATAAGTAACAGTACAAGTAGTAGTTTTTTGTTCGTCAACTAATGCTGGCTGAAATAATTTAAACTGTTTTAAGAACTAGCATTTAAAGTCTTGTTCAAGAAAAACTCACAAAAAAGGGATGAGAACAACCAGAAGAAAAGCAGAAATCTCTGACGCATAAAGCATTAAATTTAAATTATTGGTACAAAAAAATTTAATAATTGGAATTACTTGTGAAGTTAAAAAGCACCTATTCTGAAGCTATTTAGCAAAATTCTCATTTATTAGACAAGATCTGAGATTAGGAAAGGAAACGCTGCATTCCAATTAATGGCAGCTGATAAGTATGCAAGTGGTTAGTGAAGGTTGTTTAGATGAACAGTAATAAGTGGTCACAATTCCATTTTATGTAATTAACCCACTAAAGTTTGAAAAAAAGCGAAGAGTGTCTGCCAGTATCGAAAACAACGTGGAATTTAGTAACTGAATCTCATTTTGTAATTTTGGTTTCAAAATTGATATATCTACCGCTAAACAATACAAATTAATAAGTATTTGAACTCTTCTACTGAGAACCTTTATGAATAATAACCACAGCGGTTCAACAACTTTAGCTGTTTTTTATCGTGAAGCATTATTGCTAGACGACATTTATAGTATTCTAAAAGTCTGCAAATTACTGACAATGAAACTTCTTCCTTTACAGCGGTTTTCGTGTCTGCAGCAGTCGTCGCCAGCCCATCAGGTTGTGGTTGTACCGAACACCCAGTTTCGGACGGCATCGCGTGAAGCCGTTCAAGTGAACTTGAAAAAGCAGCTTCTTTGCTGCACAAGCGCCTGTCATCAAAATTAAAAGCGTCCATATCAATTATTGGAAATCCTACACTTTTAAAACCACATGCGTCAAAACTCGACGCATTAATTTTACTTAGAACTGCGTCAGCAAGTTAGTCTATTAAAAAATTCTGTCAATCAGGCACGTTCGATGACCTTTGTTGACAAAAATATGGACCATATGAGAATCCTCGATTTAATTAACAGTTTGAGCACTAGAAACTTTCGTCTAAAGTAGCATACGGAGTTCTAGCGCAGTCGGTAAGTCCAAGTTACTGTAGTCAGATAAAAATTAAGATGGCAGATCTTAGTGCCGTACGTCCGATGTCAACTAATATCGGTTGAATACACGCAGGGAAGTACTATCGCCAGAAAAAAGTAGGTTGTTCAGTAGTAAATTGAGGACATTTTGGCTTATTGAAAGAAACCAGAAATAAAATTTTGTTCAGTTAACAGAAGAAAGCAGAAAAAGAAAGTGGAAAAAGAGAAGTCGCATTTGAAAAACATGAAAAGATAAATTGCAAACCAGAAAAGTTGCAATAAAAATGGACTACAAATCTGAAAAGTAAATTTCTTAGCAATGAATAACTAGACAAGCTAAAGCAGTGAAAGTAATGTTCACAGCTTTCAAAGACCCACTTCTCTTTCTATGTTCAATTCTATCAAGCACCAGTAGTGAATGAAGCCGTCGACTATTGGTCAACAACTGCTACTACTGAAGATGTTAAAGAATGTTTGAGAACGAATAAGGACCGCAGTTGCGGTTGCTTTCGCTAGAAAAGTATCCAGTCGGAGAGCAATTTTAGCTGCTCGAGAAAACAAGTTATTGAACAATTTTTTCTATCGCGCGGTTACCTGTCTGAAGCTTTATTGCTCTCCAAAAAATTTATTTTTGGCTAGCAAATTTCATTTTTTTTTTTCTTTCTCTGCGACCTCTTACACAAGAAAGCTCTGCTATAAGAATCTATAAACTCAGAAAAATTCAAGTCTCTCATTATAGAGTGGTATCAAACACGGTATTGCAATAGATGGTTCATTTCGGTCTGCTTATAGTTCTGTTCAATTTCAGCAGTTTAACTTGCAAAAAAATCTTTTTTTTTTAATTTTTAATACTTTTTCCCTTTGAAAACCGGTATTCTTACAGTAAGCAACGAATGAATAAAATACTTTGCTAGCCAAAAGAATACGGGTACTTTTGCGTATATGAGCTAAAAAAAAAAACAGAACTTGAGTGAACATCTGCACTAGGAAGCAACAGGATAGACTTGTGTTGACTTTAGAAAACTGTCAATTATTTATACGCCGCAAGTTAAAAAGCCTATGAAGAACTGTCAAACACTGACAAAAAGAAGACAGCACACTAAACGTTTACGACGGTGTGCGGTGACTTAACACAATAGGTACAGCTTCTTAATATTATTGAGAACTATATCTGTTTAGAAGGTTCAGCAATGGTTGAGTGAAAAAGGCCGAGTTTCTTTTATTTGTATCGAAACCATCAGCTATGACTATGACACAGTTTAACCTGGTATTGATAGCTGATGAATTATTCAACGTCTTTTGTTCTTGTCCTTCTTTTTACAAGTGCGCAGCAGAAGGCTTAGTTTTTAGTTCATCTTATTGTTCCTTGTAGAGGCACTTTACAGTATGAAGTTCAAATAACAGGTGTAAAGAAGAATTAGCATAAAGCTGTAGAACTGCTGCTGGTTTCTCTTTTTTTAACTCATTTCAGTGAAACTAATTAGGGCTTCACAAAAGTCATAAAGTAAAAAGTAAAAAAGCACTTGGCTTTTTCCTTTATAAGTTTTGACATTTCAGGGTTATTTCAGATTCGTTCTAACTCTTTTGGCACCAGTGCCTCACTGATTCAGTTGTAAGTTACAGGTTTATAAATTACTTCTGCAAATGTATAATTCATCTGTGGAACCGCAAGTTATCCAGTGATATTTTGAATTAAAGGATGTTAAAGAGCAAACGAGAAGGAAAATTTGAACAAAAAAACACGAGACCGTCTATGTTGTCAAAAATGTGCAACCAGCAATTAGTTAATAAGTGATGCGGACTTTTTCATTCAGCTGTCCTTTCAAAAAACAGCACTACTTTTGTTCCAAAAACAAATAAAACTTATAAGCTTCTAATGAAAAATAAAACAAAACACAATTTTTTACTTTTTAGTGATTTACTACGAACAGTGTTCAAAATTATCCTAATAACTCCTTTCTAATACTTGAGGAAAGCTTAAGCATTACTTTTGTTACTTCATTGTCTTCATAAAGTCAAATGTTTTTCAACTCTAAGCAAGCGAATAATCGTTCCCAGTAAATTTTTTAAGTTAAAATTCCAATGACTTGGATAGAACAGAAACCTAAATGACAAAACGATGGTCAAATAATTTTAGTGCTGTGGCCGCTAGCAGCCTTAAAAACCTAGCTATTAACAAAAAAATAGAGTCTCTGCCACTAATATGTGCAGTTTTCCTTTTCAAGAGATGTTCATTACTCAGAAGGCAATAAAAAGCTGCAAATACGTGCTATACTTAATTGCTAACTGCTGTTTTCTTGTATCACTTTTCTATCAGACTGGTTGTGTGCTTGTGAATTTCTACAGAGTTGCCTCCACCCCAAGCGTATTAATAACTGTTTCCTCAGCCACAGACAATTTGACGCACTGTCGATTGTGTTGTTTAGAAATCTCATTATGGGACAAAGCTCTCTTCATGGTCACGATAGAAAAAAAAACATGCTGTGAAACTTGAAAAGAACAAAAAGCAGAGAGTTATTAAAGGAATAAAGTCATCTTTGAAACTCAATTAATGCTCTCTAAAGTGACTTTAAAAAAAATCCACTAACCTTTCTGGGTAGTAGATGTTTTGTGATTGTTTTTTTTCATCCTGGCAGTCTTGACGAATCGGTTGACCACAACCATTGTAAGGGGGTAAATGCGCTGTGCCACTGCCAGCAACCCGCGTGATATTCAAAGCGCCACATTGCTTAAAATTCGGGTCGTTCATTATCTCCTTTGGTAAAGGCTCGGATATAGTTTCATCCGAACTGGTGTTACTTTCTTGATCAACCTGCAGTAAACGGCAGAACAAGTAAACTTTTGACTTTGCTGTAAAGCGACAGTAAATAAGAATAGATTTCAAATTTTACAAAAAGTTTTCATCCGGGTAATCATTCGAAAAAAACGCTCTCTTTTATTTTTTTCTTCGTTTTGCTTTTTATTTTTTATTTTTTAATGCTTTTCTTTTTGCAATTTCTTTATACAAAAATGTTTAAAGTGCAAAACGTCTTGTAAACTGGAATAATTTTTGCGAATGCAGAAAAAAAAATGACACTACTAGCAATGACAAAATTTTTCCTTCATGTACCACAGTTACACTTAATTTTAGAAAAAGATGAGAGGAGTTAAAAAAAGACTGCATAGATGTTCACATTCACAATTATTTTTTGTATCTTCAGAAAAAAACAAGTTAGGAATTTTTTTTTTTGCTTTTCGTTAATATAATATTACAACACATAGTAGAGCTTCTCAGTTCATAACGGATGGATTACTGTAGAAGAAGAACGAAGAGCAAGAGGAAACCCGAGTGTTACATGAATTAGGACAAAAGGATTGTAAGAAAACCGTCAGTATTAATCAGTTGGCGGAACAGTTCGTCAATGCTGAGAACGGCTAAGTGTGAACAAAGAACAAAGTTAAGATAAGACAGATTAAACAAACCTTATGCTAAAATACTGCGCGACTTCTTTCAAACCTTCAAAACTCCCGTAACTCCTAGCAAATATTCAGAAATTTGTCAAGCTATGATAGTCTCTGACATTTTAAACTTCAAGTTAGATATGAAAACAATTGTACTGCTATGCCTAAACGGCAGCTTATACAGTATGTGAGATGATAGCTCATTTTAGCAATTTTTCTGTTTCCTTCCCCACTGCTTCTCAGATACATCTTATATCAATTAAAAAAACAAGTTTTAAGAACTAAAAAAAAACTCTGAAATTAAAATATGGGTCTCTGATAACCGTCGTTACGCAATGCAAGCAATTTAGCAAAAATACCATTTTGAGTCCATATGTGTCGGTAAAATTTTCGCTCGAGACTCCGAAATGGTAAAAATCAAATGGCATATTCACTAATAAAAGTGTCTGTTTTGTGTAGTCAAAAGGTAGATAAATCTTGACAGCTAGTGAAAATTTTGTCTTCTTTCAAAAAAATTCTCTTTAAAGCATCATTTTCATTTCTTCTTCTTCTTCTTAATTGACTTTAGCATTTTAAACGGCTTATATAAACATAAATATAAATATAAATATAAATATAAATAT